GGGTTTTGGGGGGGATTTTGCGGAGGGTTTTGGGGGGATTTTGGGGACATTTGGGGGGTTTCGGGGCCTGACCCGAGCCCCCCAGTGCCCGGCCCCCCCGAGGAGCTGCGTGTGGAGCGCCTCGGCGACTCCGCGCTGGGCCTGGAGTGGCGGCGGCCGCGGCGCCCCAACGGCGTCGTCACCGGCTACGTGCTCCAGTACCGGCTGCGTGCGTACTGGGAGCACTGGGAATGGCGGGGGGGGGTACTGGGAGCACTGGGATGGGACTGGGGGGCACTGGGAGCACTGGGAGGGGGCACTGGGAGCACTGGGAGGGATGGGATGGGGTACTGGGAGTACTGGGAGGGATGGGAGGGGGTACTGGGAGTACTGGGAGGGATGGGAGGGGGCACTGGGAGCACTGGGATGGGACTGGGGGGCACCGGGAGCACTGGGAGCACTGGGACAGGGCAGTGGGAGCACTGGGAGCACTGGGATGGGACTGGGGGGCACTGGGAGCTGTTCTGGGTGGGTTTTTGAGGTTAATTTGAGGCCATTTCAGGCCATTCCGGGCTTGTTTTTTGGGTTAATTTGGGGCTGTTTCGGGCCATTCCGGGCTTGTTTTTTGGGGTTAATTCGGGGCTGTTTCGGGCCATTCCGGGCTNTTTTGGGGTTAATTCGGGGCTGTTTCGGGCCATTCCGGGCTGGTTTTTGGGGTTAATTCGGGGCTGTTTCGGGCCATTCCGGGCTGGTTTTTGGGATTTATTTTGGACTGTTTCGGGCTGGTTTTTGGGATTTATTTTGGACTGTTTCGGGCTGTTTTTTGGGGTTAATTCAGGGCTGTTTCGGGCCATTCCGGGCTGGTGTTTTTTGGGTTAATTTGGGGCTGTTTCGGGCCATTCCGGGCTGGTTTTTTTGGGGTTCCCTGGCACGGCTGCCCCTTGCCCTGCAGAGAACCAGAGCGAGGGGGGGTTCCCGCTGGAGATCTCCTTCCCCGCCGGGACCCTGAACACGACCCTGGCCCGGCTGGAGCCGCGGGGCCGCTACCGGCTGGAGCTGCGCGCCCGCACCCGGCACGGCCCCGGCGCGGCCCTGGTGCGCCTGGCCAGCCTCGCCCCCGAGCCCGGTGCGCACCCCGAAACCCGGCCAAAATCCGCGGGGGGAGCCCAAAAAACCGGCCTCGAAAACCGCGGGGGGAGCCCAAAAAACCGGCCTCGAAAACCGCGGGGGGACCCCAAAAAACTGGCCTCGAAAACCGCGGGGGGAGCCCAAAAAACTGGCCTCAAAAACCGCGGGCGGAGCCCAAAAAACCGGCCTTGAAAACCGCGGGGGGAGCCCAAAAAACTGGCCTCGAAAACCGCGGGGGGAGCCCAAAAACTGAGTCTGAAAACCCACCCAAAATCCGCGGGGGGAGCCCAAAAAACCGGCCTCAAAAACCATGGGGGGAGCCCAAAAAGCGGCCTCAAAAACCGCGGGGGAGCCCAAAAAATGAGTCTGAAAATCCACCCAAAAAAGGTGGAGGGAGCCCAAAAAACCAGCCTCAAAAACTGCTGGGGGAGCCCAAAAAACCAGCATCAAAAACTGTGGAGGGAACCCAAAAACTGAGTCTGAAAATCCACCCAAAAAAGGCGGAGGGAGCCCAAAAAACCAGCCTCAAAAACTGCGGGGGGAGCCCAAAAAACGGCATCAAAAACTGCGGAGGGAACCCAAAAACTGAGTCTGAAAATCCACCCAAAAACTGAGTCTGAAAATCCACCCAAAAACCGCGGGGGGACCCCAAAAATCCGGCCTCAAAAACTGCAGGAGGAGCCCGAAAACTGAGTCTGAAANGGGGGGACCCCAAAAATCCGGCCTCAAAAACTGCAGGAGGAGCCCGAAAACTGAGTCTGAAAATCCACCCAAAAACCGCGGGGGGACCCCAAAAAACCGGCCTCAAAAACTGCGTGGGGAGCCCAGAAACTGAGTCTGAAAACAGACCCAAAAACCGCGGGGGGACCCCAAAAAACCAGCCTCAAAATCTGCGGGGGGACCCCAAAAACCTGAACCCAAAAACTGCCAGGGGGGGCCCCAAATTTTCCACGGGGAGGGGTCTGGAAATAACGGGGTGCGGGGAGGAGACACCTTGAGACCCCCAAAACGCCGAGGTCGGGGGGGGGTCCCTGGGGTGGGGGAGGGGTTTTTGGGGCGGGGGGATTCGGGGTGACCCCCCCCGTGCCCCCCAGTGCTGCCGGTGCTGGGCACGGTGGGGGTCGGGGAGGTGGGCGAGGATTTCACCGAGCTGCGCTGGACCCTGGCCCAGCCCCAGGCCAACATCGAGTTCGAGGTCGAGTACATGAGCAAAACCAGTAAGGCACTGGGAGGGACTGGGAGCGACTGGGAGGGGGTCTGGGGACACTGGGAGGGACTGGGAGGGGGT